AGGCACATTCAAATACAGAAACAGACACACTTACATGCATCGAAGTTGACATATCACATTAACTAACCAAATCAATTTATATTTGATCAGAGGCCAGATGTAGAGTATATATACCACTTTTTAGGGATTTGCCGGTGAGATTTCTTGACTCTTTAGCTTGAATTTTGTTGTGACAATGTTATCTCGCTCTGGTGATATCCCTCATATGACGGACGAAAGCTTAGCACCTTTACACCGGAATCGAAGGAGATTGCCTCGGGAACAGCGTCAGCATGAATGTTCCAATAAAGCCAATCGACAGCTGCTCAAGAGGAATCCGCCGTCCTCTTCTGGTGGAACCAACCTTCGAATCTCTTCACCCAACACTTTCACTCGAAATCGAAGTAAGGTCAACAATAAAATTAGAGACCTTGTTAATGAAGATGCAGACCTATTATGTTTTATTAAGAGGAATGTCATTTTGTATGAATCGAATTATCTTTACTACGACCCTATATAATGGGTGCATTACACAATGCTTACTTTCTACTCACTTGATTTGATTTGCATGAACCTGAAAGGCGGATAAATTCCAATCTGTGATTTGAAGTTTATGAAAAAGAAAGTTTGCCCACTTAATTAAGTAAAGAAGTGCAAAATTAAAATAAAGGCTAAAATCTAGTGCTACCTGAATGGTGAGATTGAAGGGCAACTGGAATTCCATCTATCATCTGATTCGAAACCGATCCATTTTGACAGCCAAAATTGGAAATTGATGGAGATAATTGACTAATCATATTCTGGGATGGGCGATGATTGCGTCCAGGATGTACAATAGGCATGTCAACGCTAGCACAGCCATGAACACTATCGCTGGCACTGCCTCCACTCGGGGATCTGCGGAACAATAGACGAACCGGGCTGCCACTGCTGCTTCCACTACTGGCTCCCATTGTGCCTGTAGTGCTGGAGCTGCTGCCACTACTCGATTGAGCCATGTGAGCGGACAATATGGATTCATTGGCTCGGCCCATAGGAGTGCTGCTTGTAGCTGCTGAGGTAGAGCTAAAATTGCATGTAAGAAGACGGTTACAGTGCTTGGGGTAATTAGCAGTTGAAATTAAAAATAACGTTAAAACGGATTAAATCACTTATTTCCTGCATAGTAATGAGGGAGTAAGAGTTACGAAGAAATGAATTATTTTAATTAGCATTATTATGTAAAAAAAAATATAAATTGACTTAGAATTTGATTCAGATTGAATATAAATGTGTGCTTGCCGGCTAGCCAGAGTTGATGAGGTAGAATCCTGCCCATAAGGAGAGTTTATCCGTCCATTTCCCGACTGAGATTGCTGCCAGGTCGATGTGACCCCTGAGCTAGGGGTCTGCGTGCAATTACTCGAGCCAGAGGGCATGCCACCACTGTACAGATTCCGCCAGAATGAGGAAAAACGTTTCAATCGACTAGAAAGACGAGCAGATCGCGGTCTGGATATACCAAGGGAAGAGGGACCAGCAGCTATAGAAGAGGCCGATGAGACCTGTTTCCACGGCAAAGAGTCTTCTTCCTCTTCGAATGCAGCCTCAGGATTTTTATATTGGTGCTGTAGACGCATTTGCGATGAGGCTCCATGCCTCATAAGTCCCTTGCGCACGGGAGGTGGAGGGAGAGGTGGAGGCTCAGACGGAATAAATAATCCGAAGCTCGCTACAGGAGCAGACGATAACTGAGCATCGAGTTGGGTAAGCCCAATAGGCAAGTTCGAATTGCAAGTCAGGCTGCCTGAAATGCTGGTTGGACTACGGTCAGATGACACTATGGAGGGCGGAAATAAAGGCACAGGAGGAGGTGGGGGCAAATTCTGTTCAAGTGCTTGATATACAAGCGAGCCTCTACATGCCGGGTTGTTGATGTCTATAGAACAAATTACAAATAAAAGAAAAAGGCAATAATGGGCGTGGTCAAGTTTTGCTCAAAGGAGACACTAAAATTTCGGTA